AATGTCCTGCAAAAGCTGAATACTGGCATTTGAAATGCCTGTTGACACTGAATAAGGATATACATTTGTTTTTTGGAATGACAGTCTCACGCAAGTGTGTTTGTGTGCAGATTTTAAAGACGTCGACTGAGGGTCTGGTAGACGTCAACATCAGCAAGAACTTGATTGGATCTGCTATGGCTGGAAGCATCGGAGGTTATAACGCTCATGCTGCCAACATCGTAGCTGCCATCTATATTGCTTGTGGACAGGTAATAAAAGGTGTATTGTTTACAGTATGATTTTGATAAGGATTATGATATGTGATTATATAGTGGTGGTACAGATGTTTACAAGTGAATTCAACTAAATGAATTTGTCCTTAACAGGACCCAGCGCAGACAGTGGGCAGCTCTAATTGTATCACTATTATGGAAGCCTCAGGCTCCACCGGGGAGGATCTTTATATCAGTTGCACGATGCCCTCCATTGAGCTGGGCACTGTGGGCGGAGGCACTAACCTTCCTCCCCAGCAGGCCTGTTTACAGGTACTTGATACAGGATTATTATTTTACATATATGAATGACAAAATAATGTTTTCATTTCATTGTGGATGTACAGTTGATAAATCCACCGTCATAGCTGGTCTCATGCAGTTTATTCTCTCTCTGTCCTCCTGTCAGATGTTAGGTGTGCTGGGTGCCAGTCAGGAGTGCCCGGGTGAAAATGCCCGACAGCTTGCCAAGGTCGTGTGTGCTACCGTGCTTGCAGGAGAGCTGTCACTCATGGCTGCACTCACTGCTGGACACCTGGTCAAAAGTCACATGACTCACAACAGGTAATAACTATTTATTATATATATATAAAAAATCAGAATCTAAGAAAATAATCTTACAAATTAAAATAGTATAAAATTATAGACGGACAATGTTTTGTAAGAAACTATCATCTGCAAACACCTGTATAATTTTTTTTTTAAATATATTTTGGCTATAGATCAAAAGTGAATTTGCAAGAAGCTCCAGGAACATGTACTAAGCAGGCATCTTGAGACTTCACCTGCTGAAGATGCAAAAGGGCCATAAAGAAAGAGGATCTCACGTTTAAGGCACAATGATTAGTAATTGAGATCATTTTAAAGGCCAGCAAAAGGAATACAGTTCATGGATCCCCTGATCTGTTAAACAGATAAAAGTAAAGTGGTTGAAATTACAGACTGGAATCAAGACCAGCTGTGTTTAGAAGCCTAGAGCCAGTATTTCTAAATAATATCTGGGCAGAAATCGCTGTTTCCAGATCTGCTTTGTTCAGCTTAACTTGCAAATCTGCTCTTATATCCACAGCAGCCAGTACATAAGAGATACAGAAGGCCACATAGTTTAACTTATTTCCTAAAATCAGTGCAGTTCAGGTCACTTACAGGACCGACTGGATGGGTTAAAGCAGAGTACATTTTTTTACTTCATTATTTGTTGGTGATAGCAACAGGGAGCTAACAGTCCGTTTTCCAAATTTTGCCAAACTGGAAACAACACCATTAGACAGAAAGGGAAGGACAAAGTATAATCTTCATTGCACTTACAAAGGAAATGCCATAGGGCAGTACCGATAAAGAGAGGAGTTTAATGTACTATGATTCACTAGTTGGTACACATGTAGAATAATACAGAACAATTATGAAATTGCCAAATGCAGCTGCCAGCAGTGCTCGTGACACAGGAATGAATTGAATGACTTATGTAAAAGGGTTGTGCTATGGCATGATGTCACAAATATTTCAAAAGGTGCTACAATCCACATGATGTTTCAGTTCTTTGTTCACTTAGCTATTTCTTTGTGTTTGAACACCTCTAAAATGGGTTTATGTAACAATACGCAACTTAATGCATTGCATGTTTCCAAAGGCTTGAAATGGCTTTTATACAATTGGTTCTGGTTTTCATGTCATGGAAATGTGTGGCTGTTCAGACATGTATGTTTTATGCTGAAGACATTGAAAGGAAGCTTATTATTTTTCCCCCCAAAAGGCACAATTCAAATTATTCAATAAACAAAATTATGCAAAGTTTAGTGTGTGTATATATATATATATATATATATATATATATATATTTTTTTATAATAAAAGAAAATACAAAATTACAACCTGTGCTTGATCATATTCTGCTTCTTACTTGGGCAACTTAGAATAATAAAAATAAGACAATACAAAAACCCTTAAGAAAATATTCAAGGTTTAAAAGGGGTCATCTCCTCTTTCCCCGCCTTTCTGAAACGTGTCTATTTTTACAAAGCTCATCGGTCTGAAAAGCGAGGTGTACTGTGATTGGCCAGCTACCCAGTGCGTTGTGATTGGCCCAATACCTCAAGCGTGTGACTGAAATGTTACGCCCCTTACCATATT